GATGGTGACTCCTCAAGAAACTAAAAATAGGAATCCACTCAACCCAGCTATTCCCCTGGTAGATATTATTCCCCAAAGAGCACAGTCATCATATTACAGTGATATGTGTGTACTCATATTTATAGCTGCACAACTTATAAATAGCTAAATCTGGGAAGTGGCCTATAGATCCATCAGTAGATGAGTGGATAAAGGTGTGGTATTTCTGCACAGGGAAATACTACTTTGCTCTAAGTGAGAATAAATTTCAATCATTTGCAGGAAAATAGACACATCTTGAGACCATAATTTTAAGTGAAATAGATCAGAAAAGCTTACATATTACTTGTTAGCTCTTACATGGAAAAGTGTAAATATACGCAAAGTATAAATAAATTAGAGTAAAATAAAAGATAGCTAGTAGGAAATGGGAAGACAGATCTTTTGCAAATGGGAAGGAGACCACGAGATGACAGAAGGGAGAGGGTGAAGGGAGAGGGCAACACAGAAAGCACTAAGATGAGTGGTTTAGATGTTTTGCTGCCCATTGTAAATGTAATCATTATATGCTGTACACATGTACTAACAAAAACATAAAAAATTAAAAAGCTGAACATGAGAGTTAGGCCACCCTATTGTACAAAAAGCCAACTACAACTCAACAAAGTTAAATTCTAGAGCAGTGGCGACAAACCTATGACATGCATGTTATTGTATTTTTCTTTTAAGACAAAAATGTTAAAGTATGAGTTGTTTTTTTCTAAACCACATCCTCAGTATTCAGGTTTAATTAGAGTTCTGGCACTTTCCAATAAATAAGTGGGTTTTGGATTGCAATTTGGCATTCTGTCTCTAAAAGTTTCACTGTACTAGGAAATATATCCCCCTCCATATTTTACAGAAACAGAAAAACTACTCTATGTGTCTAAGACAACCCTCAGAATTGGAAAAAATTTTAGTCACTTGTCCATCAGAGTACTTACATGTAGAATAACAAAGAATTGAGAAAAAAATCAAACCCTTCAAATTCAAAGACTCAACCCAAAAATGGGCATCTGAGATGGATATGCACTTCTTAGATGAAGAAATCAAAATGGTAAATAAATATATGAAAACATGCTCAGCATCATTGTTTGAGAGATGCAAATTAAAACAACACTGACATTTCATCTCACCCCAGAAAGAATGACTATTATCAAGAAATCAATCAATAACAATGCTGGAGGGGCTATGGGAAAAAAACGAATCCTTCTCCATTGCTGGTGGGAGTTGAACCCTGGCATAACCACTGTGGAGATCAGTGTGGAGATTCCTCAAAAAACTAGGATTAGATGTTCCATTTGACCCATTTATTCCCTTTGTAGGTATGTTCCCACAAGAATTAAAAATGTCATACTACAGGGATATATGTGCATCCACGTTTATAGCAGCACAATTTATAATAGCTAGGTCTTGGAAACAACCCAAATGACCATCCACTGAGGAATGGATAAAAAGATGTGTCTTTTTATACAATGGAGTATTACTCAGCCCAAAGAAGCCATTTATAGGTAAATAGAGGCAACTTGAGATCATACTCATAAGTGAAATAAATCAGACTCACTTGTGTAAACATCATATTGTCTCCCTGAGATGAGAGACTGAAAGAGTAAATAGTGTCCAAAATGTACAACAGATACTGTGAAATGGGAAGAAACTGTTCAAAAGGAAAAAGGAACTAGGATGAGGGAAAGAGGGAAGGAAGGAAAAGGAAAATAACCCAGGCTATGGATGCTACTAGTTTCTCTTATTTCATTGCAAAGAAAGGTTTGCGCTAATGTTTAGAGAGTTTTTTCTTATGCCTTAGATTTCGAATACCTACTTTAAAAAGCAATATGCAATGTATTAACTATTGTTATTCTCCCATCACTTTGTATAGAATTTTGTTTTAGTTTTTCTCCATGAAAAACAGAGAAATCTGCTCTAAAGTATTAATGTGCATGGACTTTGAGATCCAATGAATAAATTCGAACCCTGGCCATGTCCTGACTGAACAAGTGACTGAGCTTCTGGGTTCCTTCACCTGCTCATCTGCAAAGTGGGCTTAATGATCGTGTTCACTTTGTAGAGAGTTATTGTGAGACACTGCTTAAAACATTGAGAATAGTGTTTTGTCACAGTAAAAATGCAATTATTATTACTTAAAGTTACTTACAGTATCTTATGATTGCATACTTAAATGATGCACACAATAAATTTAATAAAGTGATAAGCTGGGTATAGAGGCACATGCATATAAACTCAGCTGAGGCAGGAGAGTGACTGAGATTTCAAGGCCAGCCTGGACTATTTACTGGGTTCAAGGCCATCCTGGACCACATAATGAGACTTTGTTCTCAAAACAAACAAACAAACAAACAAACAAACAAAAAACCTTTAAAATAAAGCAACATATTTGTTGAAAAAATTTATTAAATAGAGATTGACTATATCCAAAGCTATAAGAAACATAAATCCATGCTTTGTATTTCCCACAGTGCTCCACAGTTAGGTGACGTTATTTTAGAGGTGAGAGAGCTCATTTTGGATTTGAATGACTGAGCAGGTGGCTGGGTTCAGTGAGTGTTGAGTTAGAGTACTGTGCCATAATTACCATAAAACTGGGATTTAAGTGGCAACTTCAGGAGGGAGTGGGGATACTAGACCAAGTTCAGGCTGGAGTCCTGGAGTAGTCTGAGCCCTGAGACCAGAAAGGTCATGGCTGGGACTTACAGAGATGCCCCAAGGCTGGCCAACAGCCACCTTCTTTGGAGTAAGCCAAACAGTAGGAAGAGTGACATCTGAGGGACCCAGAGACTTGGCTGGATCTGGCCACTGAGGACTGGAGCACTCTTCTCAAAGTCTGTGGCTGCCTCCCAGCTGCATTCCTGGACCCCTAACCCCCACCCCCATGTATGGCTGGTAAAATTGCATTGGACTGCTATGGGGGACACAGGGCACCCTTAGGGTGAGGGACAGAGACAGCATGAATGTCTTAGTTCTTGGCTGTTGAATCTTTCCAAGCTCCACGTTCCTGAATTCTTATTGATCATTTCCCCACCATTTTCAGCTCCCTTCCTCTTCACACGGCTGCCCACTTCCTTTCACGAGCTCTGCCCCCTGTACCTTCTTTCCACAGCATTCCTGATTCACTTATCTTTCTCAATGCAGATTTCCATATGCTACAGAAACTTGGAACCCAAAGTATATAGGGCAACAGGGCCTTAAAGTGCAAGAAGGATAACCATACTACTAAGTTTTTGTTAAATTATCAAACAGAATAGTTTGTACTGTCATTGTTTGATTGTCTACTTTTTATGCTTTGATTTTGTAACTTAACTACTTCTAAGATAACAATATGTAATTTATCAACTAGTGTTTCCTTACTGTTATTTTTTTTAAAATTCTGTATTATTTCTACACTTTTTCTATTTTGCTTTTTTTCCCTTTCTAAATAAAGTATCTTTTTGGTATATACTATTTTAGTTTAAAAACCTAATAAAATATCATAGCAATGAACTGGCCTTATAGAATTTGTGGATTAGGACTTATTTGTAAAATTTATTGATGTCTTGATTATACTCTTCATTGACTCTGAGTATTCAAATGAAAAATGAATTGTTGTAAGAATAATGTCAAGAATAAGCTTTCTCACGATGACTTCCTGTTTTCCCTCAGCTAAGCTTGTCAGGGACCCCTGCAGTCCCCGAGGACACACCTGAGGGTGCCTTCCCTCCAGCAGCCACACTGTCATTCTAGGGAGGTGACTTCACCTCTCAGACATTCGGGCTTTTGCCTTCATTTCATTACTAATTAAACTCATTTTTATAGAATCATTAATTATTTGAGGTAAAATTACTGAAATCTGTACTTTGTTCCAAGATCTTTTTTTTAAACTCCAGGTAATTAAATTTAGGAGTTATCATGTTAATTTTTATTAGTATCTGAAGGAAATTACTGGTGGGAGATTAAAGATTTCAGCATCTACATGTTCAAAAGGAGGGGAAGGGGAAAGGAAAGAAAGGAAAAGAATAGAAAGAGAAAAATGGAAACAAAACCTTTGTAAATGCAGAGGGAAAGAGGACTTGAAGGTAAGGCAGAGGATTGAGGCTAGCTCTATCATGTACGGCACAGGTTTCCCGTGATGAATCTGATCATTATGTGTATCTGAAATGTATCAGTACACTTAATTTAAAAAGGAATAGGTTAAAGTGTTCATTCCATCAACAATATTCCTTTGTTGTCTTCCATTTTGGGTATCTTCACTTTGAACTAGAAAACTGTTAAAGTGTCTTCAGATTAGAACGCCAGGAGTCCAATTCAAAGTTCATTCATTATTTTAAGGGCATTTTCATTTTATGAGCTGTCTGGTCATGTTCTTTGTCTCATGAGGGTAACACTTGTTAAAAAAATGATAATGTGAGTCGTGTTTTTTTATGAGCAACTATATTTGATAATTAATTGTTGGTAATAGCTTGGTTTTAATCTAATGAATACAGCCCTAAGCATCCATAATCATGAACAACAAGGACCTTTATGTTATATAAATATTTTACCCTATTGAGTTAGTAAATGCTTTGTTAATTGGCTGGTTCACAGTTCTCCTCAAAGAGCATCTTTAGATAAATGAAGCTTTTTGCATAATACCCTCAGGAAAACACTTGGCAAATATACTGTGCTTTCTGCCATACTGGTCTCAAAATTTATCAGAGAAATATTAAAAGTAACCTTTAGAAAAGAAGATTAGACCTACTGCAAAAAGCCTGTAACTCAGTTTAGGACTGAGTTAAAACAAACAAACAACCCCACATAATTTGGTTTTATTCTCTGCTACACCAGCAAGATAACTCTTAACTTCTATGATCCTAAAGCTGATAACTGGATAACTTTTACCAGCACATAACTATCGTGAAAATCGGATCCATTTCCAAGTGCTCCCTGTTCCTGGGGCTCCTCTGGCAGGCACAGGGATGTGTGGACTAACAGCTGGTTGTTCCCTTCAGCCCTCTGGTGAGCGGCGTCCAGGAGATGATGGGTTGCGTGCAGAGACGCGTGGACCACCTCGCCAAACAGTGTTCAGCGCGGGAGGAATTAGCTTTCAGGAAGCAGCAATTAACAGCCTCGGTGGAGGGCTACCTCAACAAGGTAGTGTCATAAAATGAAACGTAAACTTTCAGTCTGGGGATCATATTCTGACTGCAGTTTGAGAGTGTGGTGGAAGAATGGGGCTCATCCCTTTAGGCTTCTCCATCAGCCCACCTTAGGTCCTCCAACTGGACAAAGCATTTGTAATTCACTGCTGCTCCTAAAGTATCCCTGATCCCCAAATAAATATCTAATCCAGCCTGGCATCTCAAGCCTGAACATACAAATACAAAAGCAGCCCTCACCTCTCACAGTTCTATGTCACCTGAACCGCCATCCCCATGCACATTCTGGGTGTGGTCCCACTGTGTACAAGTGTCCACTAACCTGGAATGATGGAACACTAGGATTACAGACAGGTGGATACCAAAAGTTATGGTTTTAGGTTTTGTCCAGAAATAAACTGTCATCATCATATTTTATTGAACCAGACCAGCATAAGAGACTTGCTTATTCAGCATAAAAACATGCATGGGAAAATTCTGTCAGCTGAGTGAATACACTGATTTGACAGAGAAATGTCTTATTTCCTGTTTTCAAAGAGCAGTAAAAACAGAGACCTATGCTTTGACTAAACAAAAAATTATTTAGAGTAGGTTGCTGAGATAGCAGACACTAGCAATGACACCAGTGACACTAATTCTACAGAGATGAAGTCAAATTTTCAGTGGTGTTTTCAGGAGACACAACGGATATACATACAGTATATGCTTGAGTGGAATTGGTAAGCTTCCCAGGAGAAAATATTAAATAACAATGTCTCTATTAAATTGCCTCATCTGTTACTGATCCAGAAATTTGGGCATTTCAGCCTTTTTCCAATGCTGGGTCCAGGCAGATTATAAATATGGAGACAGCGGTGCTGCCACGTTCTCTGGAGTCTGAGCTAGCTTGCTGCTGGTGGAAAACCCAGTGGGAACACAAGGCCCTGTTGTTACTCTGTCATGCTACCAATTCATAGCCAGTTTGACTTTGGGGAATATGAGTCCTGGATAGAGCAAAGGAATGAAAGAAGTGATTTGACTGAAACAGAGCCTCCCAAGTGTCACTTTATTCATCGATTCACGATTGGAGATCAAACCACGGGTCCCCAAGCTGATCCACCAAGTGGAATGTACAAAGATTGGTGCTTTCCCGGAGGCCCTCAGCCCCAATCAGAGCAGCCCATGTGAGCTAGGACCTCTCCCCTGGATCACTACTTAAAAAGTGCCTATAAATTTGTCCCATTCAATGTACAGATTAATTCCTCTGTGTTAATGTGTTAGCAAGTGTAGTGTCATCCTTTGTGGGTAATTTCCCGTATGTGAGTGATTATTTGTATCTCATAGCTGTTAATAAAAGAAATGCTGTACCTTTAAATACATACCCTCTGTTAGTGGGTCACAAGTATTGCCTCATAGGAAGAGAAGCATTACTAAAATGTGATATTCTGAAATATTTCAAACTATTTGCAGATTAAAATTGATAACTTTTTGTAGCATAGTGGGGATCTACAAATCAATATTTATTTTCCTTATCTATATACATGTGTACGTGCAGATATGTATTATTAAAACAGTCATATATTCTTTATTCCTGAAGGTGGAAATGTCAATTCAGAAAATCAGTTCAGTACTTTCCAGTGCAATGGATGTTGGTTCCAGCCTATTTGAAACAGAGAAGCTTCTAAATAAATACTTGGATCTAGATAGCCAAGCCAAGGTAAATAAAATAAGAATTATTATTATGGTCATGATTTGGTAAATATGATCTTTTAAAATATCCCACTGACTATAAAACTTTACCCTAGTTCTCTGGAGAGTTGCAATTCTATGTTAGCATGTAGCAAATAATGACTTAAAACCTCATACTGTTATGTATAAGTTATATTTATACAGACATGTAAGCTCACTGAAAGAAAGCATTATAGCCTGTGTTAAACACTCATTTGGCTTCTTTTCCCTGCCTGAAAGGGCATAGCAGTTCCTTTTGGGGATGCCAAAGGAGGCAACAGAATACTTCTAGAAGATTGTGACTCTGTACAAAGTTGCAAAAGAAAATTACAAGAAGCAACATGCACTGCTTTCCCACACTCAGTCTGCAGAGACATGAACGGCCCCTCCTCGCCCTGGCGCCTTCTCCAGCTCCCCCTAATCCTTTTCCTGGGGGACTTGGACTCAGTGATTCCTAATCCAAACCTGTGCCAAGGTCACTGTCTGCCACTTTGGTGACAAGTCATGTTTTCCCTGGCATGCAAGGAGCCCCTTTCAGAGATGGCGCCCCCACTTGAAATCTAGGAATGGCAACTTTTTTTTAAAAATGAGGCACTTTTTTTGCATTATTGAAAAGGGTTAAAATAAACTTTGTGTAGGAACAGTTTTTTTTTTTATTTTAGAAATTTTAGAAGCAGGGAAGAGATTGCAAGGAAAGAAATCCCCCGCTCCTCTTCTCCGAAGGCAACCAGCGAGCAAGGCTGGTAAATTACAATTAGTTTCATTCAGCGGAGTACTTGGGAAGCATATTAAATACACAGGAAGGCAATCCCTCCTTCTTCAATGAGAGCGAAACTGTTCTTTCATTTCTGTTTGATTCCTGGCTCATTCTCACATGAAATTTTACATAGCTCTTTCTGTGGCAATTATACGATCTTATGTTGCTCAATTATGGGGACACAGTCTGAGAAATGTGCCATTAGGCCATTTGCTCACTGTGGGAACATCACAACCTATGTTTGTACAAACCTAGCTGGAAAGATTAATTGATCAGTACGACCTTTTGAGGCAACTGAGAACGTGGTATGTGTAAGATGTTTGTGTCTGGTTGCAGCAAAAGCGGCTACACTGCTTTACAGTAAACACTTTTAACACCAAGCAGAATATACTCTAAAATATCAATAAATATAGTAAACAAAAGCCCGTAGTAGTCATTCATTATCCTAATCAAATATATATTACACATAATTATATGTACTATATTGTATATGATTTGCAATACAATAAGTTTTTAAATACCACTATCAAAACTCATAAATAATGTATCACACTATGACCTTATATTGGCTATGACACCACTAGGAGCCAATATAGGAGCTTTTCTACTCCGTTACAACCTGAAGGAGCCGTTGCCCCCTGCACATCCAATCCATCACTGACTGAAATGTCCTTATGCAGCAAATGACCTCATCTATGTAATGCCTGAAATGCCAACTCATCCATTTAATCAGCACTTTCTGTAGGTCCTTTGTTCTTCAAGGCACCAAGTGTTGAACGAGGAAGTTGTTTCACCAAAAAATAATTTAAATATGGACGTGTAGCTGTATGCACAAATAAAGTATTTCAATGCTGTTTATTGAGCTAGCGTAAACCTAAAACAATATCCTTAATCTACAACCAAATTATTTGGAAAAGAATCATCTTCTAAATCATGGATTTCTTTGACTACTAAGCAATTAGTTTGGTTCATTTTAATCAATGATGACAAATCTCGCCATGCATGCCACAGGGGGCTGTCTGTGTCATGGAAAGCTCTAAAAGGTTTTCAGAGGAAGAATTAAATGTACTTGGCCAAAGCATCAGTTCCAGGTCACAAGTCCTGCAGACCTCTGTGGCATTTCTAAAGTCGTCAGATGAGATATGGTGTGCATACTGACCTGTGTCAGAAATTACATCAAGACATCAAGTTGATATTGTAGGATACTCCCCTAGGCAAGTGAGATCAACTGATTCTTTGCATTACTTAGGCTTCTGCTCAATAAAGATTTAATAAGTAAGATTGCATAATTGATATTTGATTTTTAAACTAAAGATGAGTAAGTTTTGTGAATTTGCTATCTCTTGTATGACAAGCTTAGTTTAAGAACTTGCTTCACCCATTGTTCAATTTCTTATAAGAATTTTCACACAAGTATTTAAAATAGCCTTTTTGTCTCTTATAAAGTGTCTTTTTTTTTTTTTTTTCCTTTTTGGAAATTTAGAAAGTTGTGCCTCTCTTTTATGGAGCAAATTCTTAGTATGAATTCAGTTAATAATTGTAATAGATGACTGTTGCAGAAAGGTAATGAAATGTGAATGCTCGTGATTCCCCTCCCAGCTCTGACCCCTGGTGCTTTCCTTTCGTAGGAGACATCGCAAGCATTACAGGCAGCTACAAAAATCATGACAGAGAACAATGAATTTGAACCTGAGGAAGTGGCATCACTTTCCTTTAAAGCTAAATGGCTGGAAGAAGAATTAAACATACTTAGTGAAAGCATCAGTTCCAGGTCACAAGTCCTGCAAACCTATGTGGCGTTTCTAAAGTCATCAGAGGAGGTATGATAAGTACGCTGCCCTACGTCATCAATGTGGCTTCTGCACATCTTTGTGCTTCCTATGGGGACATAAGCTCTTCCCTGGTGCATGGTTTCATCTCCTCTACCCAGTACACACACTTTCCTTAGGCCCTTTATTCTTCAAGGCATCAAATGCCAAAAAGAAGTTGTTTCATCAAAGAATAATTTAAATATGGATGTGTAGCTGTAGGGATAAAGAAAGTATTTCAATGTTGTTTATTGCATCTATCCATATTTACAATATCCTAAATCTAGAACAAAGTTATTTTTAAAAAGAATCATCTTCTAAATCATGAATTTCTTTGACTATTAAGCAATTAGTGTGGTTCATTTATACCAAAGATGGCAAACCTGTGGCATGCAGGCCACAGTGGGCAGTCTGTATCATGGAAAGCTCTAAAAGGTTTGCCATTGCTGACTTATAAACGCTGTCAAATTAGCAGATACAGGCTATTGGTTCAGCCTCATCTATCTTTCTGATAGTCTTTAACAAGTTACTTCACTGAAATTTGTTTGAGGCTTTGTTTTGACATGATGATGTTAGATAGTCTCATATTTTCCCCTAGTACACTATGATTTCACCTCTCCAAGGTTAATTTCTTGAAGATGGTGTCAGTGGTAGAAAAGCTTCATTTACTATGGTCCAACTGTACCTTATGTGGAAACAGAACCCTCACCCTCAACCTCCCACTCCTCCCCTCCTGCCTACACACACCTCCTTGGTCCAATCTGGAGGAAGCCCTTGTACAGTCCCTAGAAATCTCAGGTACTTGCTTTGTCCTTTTCTACATCTTTCCTGAACTGTTTGTTATTTTTAACTTCCTTTAAGTTCATGATCCTAAACTCTCATGGTTTGCAGAAGTATTACAACAATAGGATCCTTTGGATGATTAACATTTTTATTCAGAATATGAAACAGTAGAGAAACTACCATAAATGCTTGCTTTTTGCATCTTCCCTGCCAAAAACATGCCTACTTGACTTTGTATTAAGCATCCACTTCCATGGCCCACTCTGGCCACTGGCACCAGCAGTCTCTCTAAGGTGAAGCCTCGGTTTTGCAAACAGTGATTTCTCAGAAGAACCTTACGTCCTTCAACTTCCCTGTTCTCACTAAACTCTTTTCCAACCTGGCAGAGGTAGCATCCTTCTACTCCTGGAGTGCTACCAGGCTGTTACTCCCTTCCCCCGCTGCCTCGCCCTGTTGCCTCACCAGCTCATGGTTACTCACTTCCATTCTCCACCCAGCCCCTCAATTCCCTGACTTCCACCAGGACGGACTTTGCCAACTCCCGACACTAGTTCAGTCCAACACTCTGTTTGCTCAACTTTCCAATCTTCCACACGCTCCTGTGGCAAATCACAACTATTGTGCTGATTGGTGCTATCCCAGGTTTATGGGTTTCTGCTCAGCTGGGTTCCACACATGCTCCCTAGATGGCTCCCATTCTGTAGTGATTTCCAAGCACCTCACCCATTTCCATTTCTAAGCCTTAGCTGATGTCTCACCTCGTGGATCTTTAAAAATGAAACCATTGAGCCTCCTTGTCTTGACTTCCTCTTTCACACCTGCCCTGGCTCACCTAAAGTGGCATCCCCTCTTCCGTCCAGGTCTCGTCAGTAACCAGTCACTGCCTATGTGCGCCTACATCCTTTGGGATCCTCTACTGTTCTAACTTGCCTTTTCCTTTGCTTCCTTCTCCCTTGTTCTGTGCTTCCATCTAAACAGTCTTGCTCTGCCAAGCCTGCCTCCTTGGCATGCTTCCTCCCCTCCACATACAAATATGTGGAATAGGAAGATGACATTCCTGCCCCTGCTTGTTCATCCTCTATAGCCTTCTCCCACTGCAATTCATTTTCTCCCTTTCCAGCTCTGCCATTTGCCATCTCTTCACTCCACTGAAGATGTTCTCATGAGCTACTTTAGAGTGGACAGATGAAATGCTGTACTGTCCGCCTCCATCTGCTTGAGCTCTCTGAAGCGTTTATTTAATCTGGTCAACCCACTCTCTTCTCCTTAAAAAAACCAGATTTATTGAAGTATAATGGATATAGCATAAAATTCACTATTTTATGATGTTTAATATTTATAGAGCTGTGGAACCAACACCACGCTCTAGGTTCAGTGTATCTCTGTAAACCTTTACAGAGCCTGAGCGCTCACACCCCCAGCCTCGGCAAGCACTGCTCTTCTTTCTGTCTTTCTAGACATGCTTTTTGTTTTTTTGATATTTCATGTAAGTGGAATCATTTTATTTGTCTGTTCCTTTTCTTAATATATTTATCCTTTTTGTTCTTGAAATATACAGGTCACAGATTATCCTTCCTTTTGCACATGGCACTCACTTTCTTTAGAAAAATAACATTTGTTCCTGTGGCTTTAATTCTCCAGTAGCTGGAAAGTAATTCCTCATTTCTAACTCTCCTGAGCTCCAGACCAAGGATTTCAATTACCTTCCAACCTCTAGGCTCTTCAAATTCAGGGAAACACCAGCATCAGCTTTTGCTGGGTTATTGTTTTCCTTCTGTATTTAGGCACTGGGTCAATAACTCTATATTTCTCTGAAGTCTGACATAGAAGTGCTGATGTCTTTCCCAACCATTCCCTCAAGATAAATTTATTTTATTTCACACTGTATCTTATGCTTTTCGCTCCTGATCATTTAATCCTTGTATTTCTATGTTTTCATTGCTGTTATCCCTGTTTTCCAAACGAAGGAAATTGAATCTCTCGGAACTTAGGTGTATACCGTATCAAGCTGCTAGGAAATACCAAAACTGAAGTTTAATCACCATTTTTTGTTTTACGGTTTCAAAAGCCATACTGTCCCGTGTTTGCTCACTGAGACAACCTAAAAGGTTTCTAAGCTACCTTTCTCTTCATTTAGACCGGTGCTTTCTCAGTTCAAGTCCTCATCATCACTTCCTGGCATAAGCAAGTCAGTAATTCTTCCCTTCTCTCTCTCTCTTTCTTTGGAGGAAAAAAACATCATTCTAAGGCAAATGTGGCCACGGAGCCTACTGAAATTCAGGTGATGTAACACATATAATAAGTGAGGCAAGTTGCTAGTAACTTTTTACCACAATGGCTAAATATTAAGGTTTATCATTAATTCACTTAAAAAATAAACATCTACAGATTCAAAGGAATTCCTATCAAGACATCATTCTCACATAGCTTCATAGAGGCTTTTGTGAATAGTTGGAAAAAGAGCATGAATTAAACCTTATGTCTGGAGTGTTGCACATAACTGGCTTGATTATATAAATAACCCAGCCCACGGTGCACAGCTACTCTGTTGAAATACTGGTTGCCTAACAAAAAGTGTATTACCCTCCATCCTGTTGGGTATAGTAGAAAACAAGTTGAAATTTGCTGGTCAGCTGTATGGCAGTACAGGTATCCCCCAACCTCTTTCTTACCACTCAGCTTGGGCAAACTGACTTCACCCACCGCAAGAGCATTCACTGTCCTCTGAAACAGCCAGTGCGTTCATACTTGGCTTTCACACATTTATTCCTTCCATCTGGGACCCACTCTACTCCCTCTCACACTGGGCAATTCTTCAAGACAGGCCAAATGTCACTTCCCAAGGGAAGCTTTTCCCTGTTTATTTTATAGAAAGGACTGGCCATCTTTCCTCACTGTGCACCTAACACTGGCTGTTGACTTGTCTTTTTGTTGTAATAATTCACTCATGAAGCTATCTTTCAGTACCCAGGAAAATAGATGATTCGTTCTTATTAGGAAATATTAGTGGCACTGTAGCTAGTTTATGAAGACTAAATAGAAGAGAATCAAGCAAAGACCATTCTGAGCTGAAGGCACCAGCATCAACCAAGCAGACATGAATAAGTGGGAGACCCAAAACTAGGAGACCCAAAATGAGGGCCATTTGTAGACACTCCTATTAGCTCATTCAAATTAAGACTGTTGTTAAAACCTTTAAAATATGATGACTGTCGCCTGAAATTTCTTACTCTGTCAATTGTTTAAGGGAATATGAGCCCTTTGAGTCATCTTATTAGCTATTATTATTCAAAATACATAAAATCCATGTCAAATATTTTCTACTATTTCTTTTTTTTTTTTTTTTTTTTTTTATTTAAGAGGAAAAAGAGAAAAACACAAAACAAAACAAAGCAGTGTAAGGTTACATATAATACAGAACTACAAAAAAAGCATAACAGTAAGAAATCACCTGTTAATAGATTACATATTATCATCTTGGAAATAGTTGCTCAAATCACAGTATCAAAGAATACAAAGTAGACATTCAAACAGAGAGACTACAAACAGCTGTGTTCAATGATCCAAAAACATTAATATAGTCAGCTATTCAACATCCCTATACACACTTGCTGTTATATCCGTTAGAGCTCTTTTTTCCCCTTCCTCTCTTTTTACAACAAAATTTACACATTTTAGATTTTATTACTCCTTAGTTCTTATTACTTTTGGGGGGGGGGAGAATAAAGTCAAATATGGCAGAACAAAGCTGTCAGTGAAAACCAAGGATAGACTTAGCACATGATGTAGAACAGAGTATACGGTTATTAACAATAGTTATCAACGTTGTCTCTTGTTTCCTTAAAAAGATTTGTCTATCTCATTAGATATTATAAAGTTGGACAAAACAGTAGAGAACAAGACCAATAAAACTTAGACATTGTAAACATTACAGGACTTCCAAAGGAGACAATAGTCAAACCAGAATGGGCATCTTAGTGAATCTTACTGCCTTCAAAGTAGTTGCCTATACCCTCGGACCTGATACTATCCCACAGAATGGAACAGAGTCTAATCAGTCAAAACAAGATCGTGGGAGCATTACAGGACTTCAAAACAAGTTAATAGGAAATCGAAAAGAGTTACTATTATATATCCTAATTTTTTAAATTTTTCCCTTAATTAAAATAAACATAAGAAATAACTAAATAATTTTTTTAAAGAATAATAGTTACCATAGTGTCTGTCTT